GTGTCAATTTATTTACTATCGTTTCATTTTGCATGGTTTGACTTCCAGAATAATAAGATTATTCAAACTATCCACAGTCGATCATACTTTGGAAGTAGGTTATGAAAGAAGACTGCCATGAATGGGTTTTTGTATGATTGTATAAGGTATTAGACATAGCAAAAGATTGCTACAAACATTCATGAGTGCTCTGGAAATAAGATTTGATTATTGGACTAAACCCACGCTCACATATCACTTCATGGAATTTCTCACGGGTGATTGTGAGACGATAATATTGTATAATCTTCAAACTAAGATATATGAGATGGCGATTATTTGTTGATTGTACATTAATATTGCGAAAACGCATCAGTAACTCGATGTTATAAAACGTGCTATTATGTATGATTCAATGAATAGTTAGCACAAGCATATAAGTCGAAGTTTATATGTTCCTTTTATCCTAAGAGGATTAAAAGAGATATCTTGGGCCCCTCGATGATTTTGTTTTGACTTATGTGTCGGGCCCGGTCAGAACTCTATTGATGTGTTCAATTAAGTTCTATATCAAACAAATCAGAAATCGGGAAACAAAATGTTCGACAATGAGTATGACTTTAATTCCATGTCTTTGTCCACACGATATCTTGTAGAACAGGGGATTATATGATCACTTATCTAATGGACGCGTCAGAGTTTTACAGCGGCTTTTTGAGAGATACGATCGCTAATCGGATTTTAAGTTACATTGGCAATTACAGTTATTAGACTTATCCAAGTGGGAGACTGTTGGAAAAGGTGTCTAAGCCCATAACTATAATTGGTATGTACTTGACCCGATAGTAACATGGTCCATTTGGGTTGCATTCATCAAAGCAATATGTTAGGAAGGATATTTGAGTAAGAGGTTAATTATGATTTATTAATATGTTATAAGTATAATATATTAATTGAGGAATCATATTATTTAATTAGTATTGATCAAGAATTAATTTAAGAACTAATTTAGTGATCAAAAGAGACTAATTAAATTGATACATATGGATTGAGCTAATGATCCATGATTGATCTGTGATGGGCTTATGGGTTAGTCCATGAAGTGGTTGTCCAAATCAAATGGGTGGATCATAAGCTTATGGGTATGGATTAGGGTTACACATGACCCTTGGAACTCTACACACACACGTGTATATATATATATATATATATATATATATATATATATATATATATATATATATATATAATATATATATATCTAAGTACAAAAATGGTTACTACTTGTATTTGAAGAGTAAGAACCGATTTTAGAGTCTCCATAACCTCTCCATATTCATCCTAATTGTTCTTGGTGTTTTGTGATTCCATTTGAGGCATCACATCTTGGGGTGTTAAGCTTTCTTGAGGCCAAGTTATTCAAGCTACTACACAAGATAATATTCTAACTAGTTTTTTATGATTCAAATATCACCTTGCATGCTAGTTTAGGCTTCATGCTTTGGAAAATGTTAGTGCATGTATAAATAGAGAAAACTTAGATCCAAAGAATTAGGGTTGTATGTGCACCATAGGAATGTTAGAGTACATAAAACCCAACATTGGGCACGCGGCCAGGGTTGTCGGGAAATTATCTTCTGTTTTTGGATTGAGGATCTTCAGAGTCTGTGGGCAAGCCGGATGATTATGGTAAATCGGGATGGAACTAGTAGAGACCATTGGGTCAAGGGTTTGGATCTTGAGTTGTAGGATCATGTGGATAATAAGTATGGGAGGCAGTAGGGCTTAGGCTGGGTAGCCTTGTTATTTGGTTTCTTGAGAACCTAGCGGATAGACTAGGTGCGAGACCGGTAGTCTCGGGGATGGTTTGTGAATACTTTGTATATCTCGGTCTAGTGATGGGATGTCAGTTTTGAGTTCAGTGCAAGTGCAGTTTCGTAAATCTCGGGTTATAAGCGAAGTACCGGATTGGATTTGGTTAAGACCTCGAGTCGGGATTTTCTTTCGGAAGTCACGAGGGGCGACTGTGTAGGAGTATTCCAGCAACCGGGCAGGAAACCGGTATTTTAGAAATTTGGTAGACAAGTTGAAACGAGGGAGGTCTCGGTGGATTTGGGAGGCAGTTTCGGTGTTTCGGGCAGTATTAGCAATTTGGGGTTTCGCGTGTATGAAGAGTATCTGGGTGTCTGGGTAATGTTAAGCCACTCACAGCGGGATTAAATAATCTCAGAGTAATTGATTTGACCCTGTCGCGCAACTCTCGTTGGAGTCTAACCGTTGCAGGGATGAATCTTCTATTCGAATGATTATCTGAGCCTTCTGTTGAGTATAAGTGTTCTGTAACTGTATATGGTTAGTGATTTTGTTTCCCCTTTCAAAGCATTTCTTTGGTTCAAAACTGTATGAGGTTGGCTTGGTGGGTTATGATTGGTTTGCTATTCGTTGAGAGAGGGCATGGGTTGTTTCAGCACGGACGGTCTTTCGGGAAGTCAGGTCTCAGAAGGTAGAAGTGGTTTGCAAGGGTTGAAGGTTTGGGTGTTATGTTCGAGATAAAAGTTTCGTTTGGGTTTCGGTTGCCTTGGGAAGGTTATTTTATGTGCAGAACTTCCGATCATGATCATTAGGTTGATTGTTTTGATATGAGTGCTAATAAGGAGCGATTTCGAGGACGAAATCTAATTTAAGTGGGGGGGGGGGGAGTTGTAACATTTGAAATCTAGAAGCTCAATTATGGAAATAAAACCTCATTTTTTAGGGCCAACTCGTCGAGTTTGGGGGAAGAAACTCGACGTTTTGAAGTATTGGTCGCGCGTGTTTTTGAAGACCAACTCCACGAGTTGGAGAGGACCAACTCAACGAGTTAGATGTGGTTTGGGAAACCCTAATTTCGGGGTTTTGCATCCTATTTAAACAACTTAAGCCCCATATGTTGGCCTCATTTCCAGCCACCATTGTCCTAAACCCTAACCTCGAAACCTTAAGGCATTTTTGAGTGTTGTGAGCTATTTTGAGTGCTTGTGTGGTGTGTTTGAAGCCATTGGAAGGAAGGGAAGCTTGGTGAGAGTTGGTAATACAGGAAGAAGCTGCTAGATCTCGAATCCTTGCTTCATTTTCGACACTTTTCTGGTAAAAAGTCTCAACCTTGCCTTGTGAATTCATAGATCTCCTTCTTAGGGTTCTTTTGCTTGATTTTGTCCAAATGAAGTGGTTGCTGGGAGTTGGATGTCTCATTTGAGCAATCCTTTCAGATCTAGGGTCCTAGGGAGCTTTTATGGCATAAAGGTGCCAACTTTATGGTCCTAAGAGCTCCATGCATCCTTTATGTCTTTATTTTGGCCTTTTTAGTTTCATTTGGCCATGCATGTGAGTAAAGTTGAAGACTTTATGTGACCTTTTAGCCTTTAAGGTCCAGATCTGTGTTCATGAGCTTTATCTTGAGGATATGGTGATTCTTGGATTAAGACATAAGCCTTTTAGGATTAGGGTTTGAGCTTAACGCCTTTGGGGTAGTTCTTAATGGGTAAAGTTGGAAACTTTACCCTTCTAGACGTATTTTCAGTCTAGATCTGGAAGATAGGGCTTTGGTTTAAAGAATAGTGGCTTAATTCATTAAGTGGGTTGGCTGACTAAAGAACTCGACGAGTTCAAATGGGAACTCAGCGAGTTGGTTTGGGTTTGTCCCGATTCTGTTGAAAAAGAGGAACTCGGCGAGTTCATGGATGAACTCGGCGAGTTGGATCGACCTTTCGCGATTCTGTTGTTTAATGGGAAAACTCGGCGAGTTGAGGGACAACTCAGCGAGTTGAGTCAACTCAGAGCGTTGACTTTGACTTTTGACTTATGCTTTTGACCAAGTTTGTCCCAAGGAGTGTTTGAGGTAACCTGAATTGTATTCGAGGAAAATATGGGCTTAGGATAAGACCCATATGGGATTGGGCCCAATATGGAAAATTGGGCCATTAGTGGGCTTTTATGGATCTTATAGTTTTGGGCCTTGTTGGTTTTGGTCTTGGGCCTTGGGTTGTGAGTCTTGATGGGCCAAGGGTAAAATGGTCATTTTACTCAAAGTATGGATTTTGGATCATGGTTTGGATTTCAATTGTTAATTGGATGTTGTTTGGGTATTGCTAGTTCGGGAAGCCGTCAGGACAGCAACAAAGGATTCTTTCAGTGAGCTTCTGCAGATCGAGGTGAGTCTCCTCACCATATCCATGGGTCAAAGCCACCAATGTCGGCCCAATTTGGATAGGTTATAGGTTCAAGTCCTTTGTGGGACAATGATGTAGTCTAAAAGTAATTTTTAATTTGTATGATGTTGTTATAATTTTTAATATGGTAACTGAGTTAAATTTTGGATTAATTAAGATTACATTTTAAAAACTTAAGATAATATCACTAATTTAGGACATGCCAAAATATTTTCGAATATATATATATATAATATATATATATATATATATATATAGATATATATATATATATATATATATATATATAGGAGTAGGATCAAATGAGAACACCTAAAAGGTTGAGAACGCGAGAACAAATATCATCCATCTATTATCTTAGATCTAAGGCTATAATTAATTAGAGATTTTGTTATTATTAAAATGTTTAAAATCAATTAATTTGAATTAAAATTAAGAAAAGGGTATCAGGGTAATTAATCATTCCCTTATTTTAAACAAATCAATTAATTTGCGTCGCCGCCATCCACGAACCACTTTCACAGTCGGAGAACGAAAAAGCATCGCCTCTGCCATCGCCACCATGATCGCCGATGATAGCCACAGCAACCTCAAGTCTCCGATGGCCACAACCAAAAAGATAAATCAAGATGGTTCGCAGATTCGCAATCATCCCCAACCAAATAAATTTATACCTTGAAGGGGTTTGTTGCTTCTAGGGTTTCTTTCGTCCCCATTTTGGGTGTCATCGTTTCTCTGTTTCGCTTGGAACTTTTCACAAACATGTGGTGTGCATGCACGGTTTGATTCGGTTTTTGCCACAGGGATAGAGTCATGGGTTGTGTTTGTTGCAAGTTTCCATCATCTTTGTCTGATGGTGGTAAGAAGATCAAGCGGAAGAGACGAAAAAACGCCACAGCAGACGAGTTTTCTGAAGTTATTCCTATCCCTTCTCACGATTTCAAGCTGGAGTGTGTCGCGCTTACACGACGTGGGTATTTCCCTGACACCCCGAATAAAGATAATCAAGATTGTTTCTGTATCAAAACAAGTATCCAAGGTAACCTAGCGGCTGGAGGGCGCTTCTTCTGTCTCAACTGGAATGAGGGAAGGGGTCTCGATGGGGCAGTTGCTTCGATCGGTAATGAGTCTTTTCTCTTTTTTTTTACTGTAAATCAATGAAGTTTAATAAATAGGTTTAGCTTCAATTTTGTGTTCATTCTCCAATTGGGATCTTGTATGAAGATGAAACTTGGAAGACCTCTTTGAAATCAATCCATCCTGTTTGGCTGCTTGTTTACATATTTAGTTGCAATTGGTGTCATGAGCAGTTCTTCTTGCTAATCTAATAACTGTTGGACCCGATGTACTTTTCTCAACTTTGCATCCATTGATGGCAATGAATAGGTTATATTTCAGTTAACGAACCAGAGAAGATCTAATAACATTTGATAACAAGGCATGCTACTTATTGATCTTAATGCTCTGTATCAATGAATTTGGAAATTGTAACCGTGTTTTTGAGTTCCTTAATACATTCAAACGAGTTTATAGAAGTCAAAAGTTTATTAGACAAACTTGGATTTTCGCTAGGGCAGAAAGCACTTCCAGAAATTTTACTCACATCAATTCACTCCTCATCTCATTGTCTCTATATGTTCATGTCAATGATACAGTATCACATACATGAGTCTTTGATTTGTGTTAGTTAATCATCTTGTTTCTGTTTAGATTTGTATAAAGTGTGCAGATCTTGCAACTTCTCTTCTCATCTTATCCTAATACAGGTTTCTAAATACTTATTTGCTTGTTGGATGTTGCTAATCTCATAGCATGCCTTTTCTTTTACACTCAGTAAGTTGTTACAAGTCACATACCCTTTATGTTTCAGTTGTAATCTTATATGGATACAATGTCAGATGTCTCATTTGCAGTTAAGCATCAATGAATACTCCATGAGGCTGGTTCGAGAGGAGCAAGGAAAGCAGCCACGGCAATGCAGGTGAGGGGAAAAAGCCAAGAGGCGGTTGCCCCTTTTGATATCACCGGAAACACAACCCCATCCGGGTGGTTATTCTTGGCAGGGAAACGAAGAATAAGAAATGATAATTTTTACACTATTTTTATTTTGTATTTATTTATGAATAGACTGTATTCATTTGTGAATATCAGTGTATTCATGTGTGAATGACTATTTAATTATACATAATTGTTTCTTTAACATTTTTGCAGATCCAATGAATAAACATGCATATAGTGGGAGGTGGGAGATTTACCAAATGAAATACCGACACCAATAGATTTCGGAAGGAGCGCAAAGATGTTTTATTCATTTATGATTGTAATTGTAGTACTAGTTTCCGTATCAAAAAAATATATATTGTAACTTATTCATTTACTATTATAATTATATTCTTATATGAATAGAAACGTGTTTTATTTATTTATATATGAGTATCATTTTAGCTGATTTTATAATCTTTTTTTCGGGTTTTATTCATTTATGATTTTACAAGTGTATTCATAAATACATATGAGTTAATTCATTTATAATTTACAATTTTATTCATTTTAAAATGAAATGTATAAATCATTATTTATGAAGATATTTTTTTTTTAAATAAATGAGGTAAACCGATAAATTATTCATTCTCTTGATATTTGATTGCTAAAAACGAAACATAAAAATGAAAAATGAAATGAAAAAAAAAACGTTTTTTTAGATAAAAATTAAATCATGATTTTATTAATTATTGGTTCATTAAAAGAATAGGATCTAAAAAATGAGATATTTTGGGTAATTGTCATCATAATCACTAAAATTTAGGAAATCATAATTTAATTAGATGGTAAAATTCCATTTATGCCCTCTAAAAATGATTGGTCTACAACTGTTCTCGCGTTCTCAACCTTTTAGGTGTTCTCATTTTATCCTCTCCCTATATATATATATATATATATATATATATATATATATATATATATATATATATATATATATATATATATATATATATATATATATATATATAATCATTAATTGATTTTATCAATGCGGTGCGGTTTAAACCGCAATTTTGTAATCGTAAACCGCAAACCACACTGCATAATGCGGTTTAACAAAAATACAAACCGCAAACCGCACCGCGAGTGTTTTAAACCGTGTTATGCGGTGCGGTTTGGTGCGGTGCGGGCGGTTTATGCGGTTTGTGTGATTTATTGCACACCCCTAGGAAAGGGTGGTGTGGCCCACAAAATGTGAGGGAAACTCCCCACCCATACCCTCCGGTCTAATAACCACTTTATTTTTTCTATTGAACCATTCAGTGATCATTCAACTCTACTTCATGTCATCACCCATACGCCATTCAACTCTTATTCAATCCTAATTACCCTATTCAACTCTTATACTACTGGCATTGTGGATGCTCTTAGGTGGGGCTATAATATATATATATATATATATATATATATATATATATATATATATATATATATATATATAATTGAATTGTTTTGTTAACATAAAGAAGGAACTTGAATAATAATATATATTATACAAAATAAAGTAATTTTAAGAGCCAAAATGAATGTGAATTCTATCTTGTAACTAATATGATCAACGACCAAATAATATTAAAAAAACTTTGTTTAAAGTATTTATTTAGGTTCAGGTATTTAAAGTAATTATTATGTTATTGTATGCATAAATGTGGGCCAATCAAAATTTAAAATAAAAATAAATAATTAAGGGTAAATAGGTAATTTGATAATTAGTTTCCACAAATAATATACTATAATTATGGTAACCATTGACTTTTTAAAACCACCTCCAATGTAAACCGTAACCCTAATCAAACCATCTCCAGCCGTCACCTCCATCCTTATGCCTCCCACCACCGGCCGTCACCCTACCCTCTTGCTCCTCCGACCACCGTATCTACCGCCATGTCGAGGGTTGTTGTTGCTATCTTTTCGTGAAGGCTGAAGACAGAGACCGACGAGGGGTTGCACCATTTCAGTCGTGTGTAATGAGGAATGCACCACAGCCGCCTGTCGCTGCAGTTGCTGCCGCTCGGAGATGCGTCCATCGCCGGACGCCGCGACCTTCTTGCCCGAGAAGGGAGCCGTGGAGGAGCCGCTGCCATTGGTCGAAGTCCGCTGCCATCATTCTTCTTATTCTCTTCTTCCGCTAGCTGCCACCTGTGTCATTGACCTTCTTATATGTAAAGTACAAGGTGAAGGTAGTTTGTCACTATTTTCATATCAAATTTACTTCTTCTTATATGATAAAAATCAATTTGTTTATGCCGATGATTCAATGGATGATATTGGTGAGATTTCAATTCTATTGGAATGGAATCACAAATTCCAATTCTATTGGAATCACAGAAGTTGATGCTTGAAGAACGGACCACAAAATTGAAAGTGATTCTAAGCAATATTATTCTTTTAGAATGTATTAGTGTCGTTAGATTTTGATGTTTTCTTTCCCGTTTTGAAAGTTTTTTTAGTTTTATTCTTTAACAATAAATGTAATTCTTAACAATTGTTACCCGTATTCTATAAGAAATAATGTATTTTTTGTTTTTATTCTTCAATTGATTGTTCAAGAATTTGTTATTCTACAAGAAGTTTTTAAAGTCATGATCAAGAAATAGGTTCAAAAATATTTTTATTATTTATGGTTCAAGAATATTTTTATTTTTGAATATATTCATAAACATATTCTGTCAGAATGTCCGAATTAAAAAAATTATAATTCATAAAATCGGATTTTTAAAATTAATAGAATTTATGATCCCTTAAAAAATGCAATTTCCTTTATTAAATCTATATTAATTGACTAAATTACCCTTGTAATTAATTAAGATGATATTTTTCAATTATATTTAATTCAATAATATATATTAATCACTTTCTTAAAATAAATAAATTTGATTAGTCCACATTTATGTATACAATAACACAATAATTAATTTGAATAGAATAACATACGCCATATATATATATATATATATATATATATATATATATATATATATATATATATATATATATATATATATATATATATATATTGAATTGTTTTGTTAACATAAAAAAGGAACTTGAATAATAATATATATTATACAAAATAAAGTAATTTTAAGAACCAAAATGAATGTGAATTCTATCTTGTAACTAATATGATCAACGACCAAATAATTTTAAAAAAACTTTGTTTAAAGTATTTATTTAGTTGAAAACGATTAAACATAAACATAAACAATATTTATATTTTATTGTTGTAGATATAAGATAAAAATAATTATACAAATACACACAAAAATAAGTAGCTTTATACAGAACAATGTATAGAGCCCCATATATAAGTAGGGAAGTCAGATGAAGCGTTTGAATAGAGAGATCTTTCACACAAGCACTCCTATTTGACATACTAGATATATCAAGTCGTCTTCTCCGGCCACCACTATCCGGCTGTCTTTAAGCTCAACCTGCCGGAAAACCGATCGTTTCTTTAGGAAACATGTTCAGAACAGCATGAGCAACCAATATCGATCATCATGTCATTATCGTGCTCTGACTGCTTCTCCGATTTACTCTGCGGTGAGGACTCTGGAATATTATCCGGCGAGGATCAACCGGAGTGCTCTTATGATTTCGAGTATTGTGCCGATTTCGACGATTCAATCGCGGAGTTTATAGAGCAGGAGAGAAAGTTCGTTCCAGGAATCGATTACGTCGAGAGATTTCAATCTCAAGTTCTCGATGCATCTGCTAGAGAAGAATCTGTTGCATGGATCCTCAAGGTAATATACATATATGTACATATTGAAAACCTCGATTCCGATCTTCATTCTCTTCATTCACCTACGTATTAAGTGCGTGATTTGAATGATTTTCAAATTATCGGATTCGGTATCATCAAAAACACGAAAACTTTGCCAGAAATCACGATTGAAAAGTTAGTTACATAAGTCGCTACAGTGCGATTTGGCTGATATTGTCATATAAAAGTCATGTCCAGCTGTTTACATTTTTTGAAAAATACATCGATTATTGCTACTGGAAAAGCGGAGGCGTAAATTTTAAAACCACGCGCCGGTGGCGTTAAATGATCCGCCGAAAGGCGTTTACCTAAAAAAATCCACCGTCCGTCGCATCCGTGGTTTTATGTTAGATCGGCGCCGCCGTACCGTGTGATTATTTTCCGATATTCTCTTACAGTGTTACAGCGAGTTTTTTTGTGTACTTTTTACAGGTGCAACGTTTTTACGGATTTCAGCCGTTAACAGCGTATCTCGCCGTGAACTACCTGGATCGATTCATCTATTGCCGTGGCTTCCCGGTGGTAAATTTCTCTCAATCATCGTTCATCTCCTCCGTCAACATTTCAGAAACTTTCCTGTGTTTTTCGGTTTTTCCTTTTAATCATAATGATATAATAATAATAATAATAATAATAATAATAATAATAATAATTTATCATTCGCTAGAAAACACGAGGATAACAACGCTCTCAAAAGTAAATATTGACGACTTATAATTTAACATTAAGGAATAGTGACTAGTTTACGTGATTAATTACGAGAGATTCTCGGATATGCTACTTTAAAAAATTGATTTAACCACACTTTACAACAGATGAGATTCATGTGAAGTGAACTAGTCGATTTAATCAGTGGGACCGCATCCTGCAATCACAATTTTTGGTCCTCTTTTTGTTTTCTTCTTTCTTGTACTTGAACAAATTTACAATATATTACTGAAAATTCCCACATTTTACTTTTTCTTTCCTAAAATGAAAGATAACTACTATTCAAATAGTCAACATTGAACTCTCTAGATCCCAAAGAATCTTGGTATGAACGTAATTAATGTTGTATTGGCCTTTCAAATCAAGTGAAAGTTTTATAAGTAAAACAGTTATTTTAAGAAAGTAACCCATTGATTGGAAATGCATTTATTCTGGTTTCTTCTTTTTTCTATTAGTTCCACTCACAATGAAACCGATTGGATGAATAAGGCAATAAAACTTTGCAGGATTTGTCTTTTCATTTCATCTTTTATGTGGCGTTACCTGTTTAAAAAACGTACTATGCCCCACATGATTTTATATTTATAATTCCTTTTACATTGATTATCATCCACCAACCAAAATTTCCGGATATATATAGAGAAAAAGAAATAAGCACACATGAGTTTATTACTACAAACTTCTTTATCATGGAATAATTATAGATCGATTTAGCGTTCAACTGCTTCGTTGTCTATTAGTACACCTGTAATAACAATTATACAAAATCCTTATCCCATGGAAAAGGGTTTCATTCGGATGTGCCCCTTTGTCTCTTCTAGTCCCACAAGAAAACACTGATTACATTAACTTAATCACCAACTATTATTGTTATAACTATACATTATTATTATTTTTTTTTTATAAGTTTTCTAACTCCATTTTTTTTTAATAATCAATAGGCAAATGGGTGGCCCTTACAACTCCTATCCGTGGCTTGCTTGTCTTTAGCTGCCAAAATGGAGGAACCCCTTGTTCCTTCCATCGTGGATCTTCAGGTAACTAATATTAAATATTATTTTAATTAACATCACAATCACAATTAATTTAAATTATTATTATTATAAATAACAGATCGAAGGTGCAAAATATATTTTCGAGCCAAGAACAATAAGGAGAATGGAATTTCTTGTGCTTAGTGTTTTGGATTGGAGGCTAAGATCCGTTACCCCGTTTAGCTTCATTGGATTTTTCGCCCACAAAATCGATTCAACCGGGACTTACACCGGTTTCCTTATCTCAAGAGCCACCCAAATTATTCTATCAAATATTCAAGGTATTTAATTTGTCTATTTGTCTATTTGTCTATTTGATATTAATTAATTAATATTTAAACACAAATAATTAATTAATACCCCGCATGCATGTAGGTATTTGATATTAACAAATCAACAACCTACATACTTTTTTTTTATTATTATTCATGCATGCGAGCAATTAAATTTTACAAATACCAAAAAAGTTGACCAAAAAGTTATATATAATTGTACAGAGGCTAGTTTACTTGAGTACTGGCCATCATGTATTGCTGCGGCAACCATACTTTGTGCAGCAAGTGATCTTTCTAACTTCTCACTCATAAATGCCGAACATGCTGAATCATGGTGTGATGGCCTTAGCAAAGTACGTTACCATTTTTGCACTCCAAAACACTTGTGTTGACCATTTTGACTAATTTAATTTTTTTTTATTTAATTTAATTTTCAGGAAAAGATCACGAGCTGTTACAGACTAGTGCAAGGAGTGAGTCGGTTAACGACTAAAGTGTCAAAGATGTTACCAGTACAGGTCCGAGTCATGACGACTCGGACCTGTACTGATACATCAGGTGACTCATCATCCTCAACGTCATCGCCTTATAAAAGGAGGAAATTGAATAACTGCTCGTGGGTAGATGACGAGGACAAGCGATGCTCGTGGGTAGATGACGAGGACAAGCGAAGCTCTATTTAAAGGAGACGCCAATATAAATAAATAAAATAAAACCGGGGGCAGAATGGGAATGGAAATTTGGATAAGAAAAAGTTAACGAAGAGTGATTTTATTAATTTATTTTTAGTAGGTGAGGTGGGCATTTGCCATAATTCATAAATATGGCTTTGCTGATTCCCTAGGGAAAGGGGAGTTTGGTACATAATATTTTGGTGTGAGAAAATTTGTTTAGTACAAAGTGGGAGTCAGGATTTCAAAGGTGGCATTCATTGTTGAATGAATCAAGATTGAGGGGTGGAGCGTCTGTGGGCCCCCTCTTCCATACACACATCAACAAGATATTAAAAGAAAACTCAATTACGAGTCTAGAAGATAACAACCTTTTTTATATATAATTATATAAATACCATATCCTGTTAACTAACAACAAGATTTGGTAAAAATAAAATAGAAATCAAGAATCATCAGCTGGATTCATTGATTTCTGGTGATCGGTGTATCAAGAAGTAGTGATGCGGAAAAGATGATGAAAGGCTCCTATCTTTTTTTAATTTTTTTGAAGATTAATTTTGATTACTTATAAGAAAGAAGAAGAAGAACTGAAGAAGACAGATTTGATTTTCGAGAGTGGTTTGAGAGATGAGAAGATTCATGCTTGGTTTATAAGTGTGTCTTCTCACACGTGTGCATGTGTGTGTTTTTTTGGCGGGAAACGTCCCTATTAACCTACATAACGGGGACTTTTTGGTTTTTTCCATCTTCCGTTTTTTTAGGAGTGATGTTCACGCGTGTCATGGTGACACGTGCTCATGTAATTTTTTTTTAATTCTCTTTTTCTTTTTTGATTTAAGAGATGGGTTGCGGGTACTAAAAACGTGCCTTTCTTCTTAATGGCCTGAATTTGGGCTAACCATACAAAAAAGGTCTTTGGGGCCTTTTTTCTTTATTGTTAATTATTTTTTTGTTTTATTAAGCGTGTTAGTATTTGTTATTTGGAATATTCACGAGATTATATAATTAAATCATGTTCCCTCCACTCTCTATCTATACCTTTCTACTTTTTAGCTCACGTGATTGAGATAAAAGTCATTTGTACCCTTCTCATTTGTTTTACTCTTGAAAGTACTTACTTTATGGTGTGAGATTTCGTGATTCTCATTCATCTATGTGTAATCTAACGTATATATATATATCACCATACAAACTTTTTCTTTTGGGATTCCATATAATATGAGATATATATCTATTAACCCATCAAGATGATTGATTATAATATCATAGTCATTCATCTTTATGGTGTGGAATTTTAAACTTTTTTATAGAACGATCAACTCATTATTTTTTTCAGTCATATAAATCTATAAACTCTTTTCTTTAGTTGATTTGTACACTCAATAAGAAGATTGTTTCTCTCAATGTTCAATAAATCAAAGACAAGTATTTCAAGTATGAATAGTTGGCATATGTTATCGACATACGAATATAAAAGAAAATACATTTTGTTCATATGCTAATGATGTATTATAAAAGACAACAAAAAAGTGTGGGACTGTATACTATTCGTGTATAGATATGATTTGATATGAGTTGTGTTGGTCCCATACGATTTGGGTGTATCCATCGAATAAGACTCGTATGTGGCCCTTTTTGTCATTGCAACCACCTTCTCGTGATGCCCGTCCCTTCAACCATGAGGTTTCATGTAACATCTTCCTCCCCACTGCACTTTCTCAATCCTTGAATGTTTGTAATATTAGAATACATGGGGTCGAAGTAGATCCCATCACGGGTTATCATTCACAAATATAAGATTCAACTCAAAACGATCAATGATTTTAATATTTACTAAGATTTCCTTCCAAAGTAAACTTGTCTTCATATATACAACTTCTCATTTATCTTAGCATTGCCTTCTTAACAAAATTTGAAACTTAGATGTTAACAATTTGTAATGGATATATACAACATTGGTAGATGGTTTAATACAATCACGTTGGTTAAAAAAAATAAAGGATATAAACAACCTACAAATATACTAACTATTTAAATCTAGTAGCAACATATACAAAGTTACAAAATATTTTTTATATCTACATAGATGTAATGTCAACACCACATATTAAGGTTAATCACACATGTTGGTAACCTGCATAATCTGTTATAGTTTGTGCATGAAGCCAAATCGTTACATTCACTTAAATTTAGGTTTTAGTTTAGTAGTTTTAAACTTTTAGGACTAAATGCATGTACGAGCAATACATCGATGGCCAGTTATATCAATGGTTATAATAATAATAATAATAATTCTAAACTTTAAGAAATTAAGAAATAAATAAAATGTATTTTAAGATGCCACATATCTATTAATATATCATAACACTTAAGAGTCCGTTTGATATGATAAAATTGAATCATAAAGAATAAATTTAACAATATTATATAATAGACAAGATAATGGAATGGTCGATTAAATTCCATTGTCTTGTTTGGTCTAGACCCGACTAAATGAAATATATCATTCAAACATGTTTGTTTTGTATAATTGAAAAACAAAATAAAATTAAATTTGTAAATTAAAAAAAAATAACTTTTTAAAGGTAAATATTAATCAAATAAATATATATCGTTATATAAATAGTGTATTTACATATTTCACGGCGTTAAAATTTCTATTGTATGTATTTGAAAAAGTAAAGAAATATATTTATCATTTTAAAATAAATCATGCAAAATATAAAACTAAGTATCATGAGATCTCAATATAACTATAATGAATTTATTATTTCTTTGAAAAATAAAAAAAAAAACATATTTTTATTAAAATTTTATTTAAATAATATTAATATTATTAAAAATTATATGAATAAAATAATATAACATGCCATTTCATCGAGGAATGAAAAAAGACACTCTTTTCCATGAAATAAAAAACATCCAAGAAGAGAAAATCACATTCCACCATAATTGCTTTATTCCTTTGATTTGTAGTAAACAAACAATACATATATTCATTATGTTGTAATTTTCAATCACATTTTTTCATTAATTACTTTATTTTTGGGACAATAATTCTGACTGTGTAGAGATGTCACAATTAGCTTTATAACGTATTATCTTAAAAGTCTTTTTATATCATTTTATATTTTTCAGCTAGATTTTATCAAACGTTAAGTTTTATCAGTTAGATTATAAACTAGCAGCTAGCTTCTCAATTATTAGCCAGTTTTTTAGCTTGCAGCTGCTAGCTTTTCGATTCGGACGACAAACATAACATTTGAAAACAAACAATTGCATGTTGCAAACGGCAAAATACATGCACAAATCAAGTAAGTGGCAAACTTGTTTTCAAAAAACTTAAAAGACAAAAGGGTAAATAAGTAACACTTTAATACTTAAATGTCACATAAATCTTATATCTTCAACACCCCCTAAAGAAGTACTTTTCCTACTAAGAAGAGGCATGGGTCTCATCATTTGTCTTTGAAAACACGAGATGTGAGTAAATTAGGAAATAGGAACACATAAACTCCTATCATGTGTCTATTTATGTACCCCCAATAATCAATATAAACCTGCCCAAACGAATACTTTGAGACTTTTAGGTAAGTTGACAGTATACATGAAAAATCATGCCATTTTTAAAGTCCATCAACCTATAGAAAATTCCTAATTTCATGGATGCTGTCAAAGTTCACAGCTGTTTTAATGGACCACAAGAAAGAAAAATTGGACTCCAAATTGCCAAATTTAACAACCGTAAATTATTAAAAAAGACATACATATTCATTATTGTTTTTTTTTTATATAAACATAAAAGTTCTAATTCGAAAAATATAAACAGAAAACTAGAACACATACCTATTAATTATTTGATTTTTATATACATAAAGTTTAATTGGAAAACTATGAAAGATAACTAGTTTAAAAAAAAGTGTTGTTAAAAAATATGAGTGAGACATGTATGTGTGTCTATGTGGTTCATATATCCACACACATGTCTCATCATTAAAGATATATCCATACACATGTCTTATCATTAAAGATTCATTTAAGTTTTATTTGTTCTGATTTCATCCTATAATCTCAGTCTTTTAATTTTGTCATTTTTGATGAAGTTTTATTTACTGATATTTTGATATAATAAAAAAGTAAATTGATAATTACATGTGTTATATTAATTTTGTTAAACTCTAATAAAAATAACTAAAATTATTAGCTGATTTATAACAAAAAAATGAGAAGGCTGATTTATGGTAGATAATAGATTAACTGGATAATTCATAAATATTGAGGTGTCCTTCTATATCATTGTGGGTAGAATTCATATATGGTGAAGCAACAATGTTTGTATCTAGGAGACACACATATTTGGTCCGTTACTGGGGTTTAGTAAGGAGACCCCTTATGACCACTTCTTTTTGCCCTTGTGTTGTATCTACTCTTACATAATATTAGAGAGACAATTGCAAGCTTCTTGTCCATGCATGGTACCTTGATGATGACACACTTATTGGAGATTCAGAGGAGTTGGACAACATTAAGGTGATTGGCCCAAAATTGGGCCTTAAGTTGAATATCAAGAAAACCAAGCTCTTTTGGCCCTCGTGTAATTGTAGGAAGCTGTGTAAAGGGCTATCCCCAGTTGGTATCGGGAGGCCGCCATTGGGGGTGAAACTTCTTAGGGGAGCTGTTAGTAGAGATGTTAGTTTCATTTGTAGCTTAGCCATAAAGAGAGCCGAAAACGTTGTAAAGTTGATGCGCCTTCTTCCACAATTGTCTGACCCCCAGAGTGAGATCCTTCTGCTTCGGTCTTGTATGGGTATTGCTAAAATTTTCTTTGGGCTGGGGATGTGTCAACCTGTTCACATGGATGAGGCGACGTTCTTTGACAATGAGTTGTGCCGACCGATTGAGGACATTGTGGTTTGTGGTGGCCCTTTCTTTGGCGACATACAATGGAGAATTTTTTCCCTACCCATTAGGTTTGTGGTTTAGGTTTATAATCGGCAGAAGAGGCTTCCTTATATGCTTTTGTTGCCTCAAGGGCCCAATATTGGGTATTACACAACCACATCTTACAATGATAACGACATATATGGTATGGATTCTGATTATGCTTGTGTCTTGGCTTCTCTTCGTAATAAGCTTCCGAACATTGACCTTAGAAATTTTACTACTAAGGACACTGCCCCCCTAAATCCTAGAATACAACGGCGAGTGCCATTTTTAGTAAAATTGTCGAATATATGGAAATGCATCTCGACATGACGACTCGGCAGAAAGCAGTTTTCCAAGGTTGACGTGCACCACATGCTCAAGATTTTCTTCTAGTTATCCCTGTAGATGGGCTTGACCAACATATGTCTCTTATGGAGTATCGTATTATCCTCAAATATTGACTCATGATCCCAATATTCCCAGCTGATGATATTTGTCTGGTGTGTCGCAAGGCATGTTTAGACGCTTTTGGAGAGCATGCAGTTCATTGTAAAGAACTCATGGGGTTCAAATACAAACACAATATGGTTAGGGATATTTTGTTTGACATATTTAAGCGTGTCGGGGTTTCTGCCAAGAAAGAGGCACATGTTAATTTCTTGACTGGCCCGCCAGAAGAAAGGTTAACCCTTAGATCGACTAACATTTTGATTTTTGGATGGGTTGGAGGGAAATATACATGTGTGGACCTTACAAGGGTATCCCCTCTTGTGGGCTTGAGGGTTGGGGTTTCACGGTGGGACAGATTGTTTTAAAAGATGCTACAAGCAAAGTCATCAAAACATAAGAAATCGTGCATGGAAAATCAACACGTGTTCATACCATTTGCATTTGATACATTTGGTTTCCTCGCGCCGGATGCGATAAAGCTTCTTAATAGAGTACAACGGATCATACATAGCAATGTTATATCCATAATTTGAGAGGTTCTAATAAATTATGTCTTTCGAGTGTATCTTCATTATACCCTAGTTGCCGCCGGCGATTAAGTTGACTCCTCATTGCCTTTCATTTTCCCGTTGCTTTGGGCGGATTCCGGTGGAATCCTTTCATTGCTTGTTTC